ACCCACGACGGTCGAAGAAGCTCCAGCTCCAGCTCCAGCAGCACCTCCAGACTCAGCAGCACGCCTCCAGCGGCGAGCGAACCACTCGCGCAGCTCCTGTGGAGAGAGGGGCTCCCGGCGAGACGCAGCAGCAGGAGAAACCCCAGGCTCAGCAGCTCCAGACGCAGCACCCCCAGGCTCAGCAGCTCCCAGCTCAGCACCTCCAGGCTCAGTAGCTCCCGACCCAGCACCCCCAGACCCCGCACCCCCAGGCACAGAACCCCCCGGCTCAGCACCCCCAGGCTCCGCACCCTCCGCAGTAGCACCCTCAGGCCCAGCACCCCCAACAGTAGCACCCCCAGGCTCAGCACCCCCGCGCACAGCACCCCCAGAGTCAGCACCCCCAGGCTCAGCACCCGCAGCAGCACCAGAGTCACCAGTAACCTCGACCGGGTCAACGGCGTCTACCTGGGACACACCTGAGGGGGTAGGAACCTGAGGGGGGAGGGGGTCTACCGGGGGGGGAACCGGCACAAGGAAGTCCGGGGGAGGGGGGAGGGAAGGAGTGCGGTAGGGGAAGAGACGGTAGAAGGGGACTGACTCGTCGAACGTGACGTCCTGGGAGGACAGAACACGACGAGAGGAGGGGTGGTAAAACTGCCACCCTGGGGCGTCAGTGGGGAAGCCAAGGAAGACACAGGGAGCAGCACGAGGGGACAGCTTGTCCGCAGACAAGTCGCGGACAAACGCCCGAGATCCCCAGACACGGAACACAGACGCATCGCCAACCTTCCCCGTCCACAGCAAGGCTGGGGACATCGCAGGCCGAGAGACCCGGGGGTGAAGGTTGAGCTGATGCGCCGCGTACCTCACCGCAAACGGCCACAGAAAATGGGGGGCAGCCGCATGCATCATGGACGTACGAGCGACATCCATGACCATGCCAATGCGGCACTCAGCAATCCCATTTTGCTGTGGTGAGTCCGGAAGCGTGAAGGTCTGGCGGATCCCCCGTGCACGGCAGTAGTCCCGCAGAAGGCGAGAAGAGAACTCTCCGCCTCTGTCAGAGTGCAGACGCAGAACAGGAAAGTCCGAGCCGAAGCTCTTCCTGAGCTGGAGACGAGCCTCGCGGATCCAGTCGATCAGCACCTCAGTGACCTCACCCTTGCTGCGCAAGGGGAGGACTGTGGTGTAACGCGAGTAGTCGTCAACCACCAACAGGAAGTAGCGCTCGTAACCCTGCCCACGGACGGGGGCTGGGCCCCACACATCCATGTGAAGCGTCTGCAGGGGAGCCTCTGTCGGGGGGAAGTGGGAGGAGTGAGGAGTAGCCCGGAGGCGACCCTCGACACAGGGGACACAGGAAGGTCCTGGCCCGGAGGGGAGAGGAGGGAGAGACTGGGGGAGACCAGAGACAAGGACACGGGAAGCCATGCTCCGAAGACGGGGCAAGGAGGGGTGGCCAAGACGGTGGTGCCACAGGAGAGTCTCGTGAGACAGGAGGCGACAAGAACAGGGGGCAGACTCAGGACCTGACCGGGACGCAGCAGCAAGTACCTGACCCGACGCAGCCACCTGACCAGACGCAGGGACAAGAGGAGACTCAACGGTCAGGGTGTAGAGACTCGACCCCGGCCGACGCGAGAACGTGGCCAGGTGTCGGCCTGTGCGAGCCTCCGTGCAGTGGGTCACCCGCTGACGCGCAGGAGTGAACTGGTGAACACCCCCATCCTGCAGGTCCGCTCCACTCACCAAGTTCGTAGAGAACGAGGGAAGGTACAGACCCGACAGGGTGCCCGAAGGGGCAGCCGGACACGGGAGGACAGTGGAGAAGTGAGACAGGACAGGACCCCCAGAGGGGTCAGCAAGGGAGACCGCAACCGGCCTGGCGAGCGGCGAAAGGGTAGTGCGGTCTCGAAAGAAGGAGCGAGAAGCTCCGGAGTCAAGTGTGAAAGTGAGGGAGGACGAGGACGACTCAGTACCTAAGAACGCAGTCTCACCAGTACCTGAGAGCGCAGACGTACTGGCACCTAGAGCAGCAGCCTCACAAGTACCTAGCGCAGCAGTACCAATGCCCGGGTCGGGCTGGAAACACCGGTAACCCTCATTCTCCTCACTATAATCCACAACATACATAGTAGTAAGGATAGCATCAAAATCAAGATCAAAGATCGCTACACCAGCCCTGAGAAGCTCATCCCAGCGAGGGATCTCACTAGCCCCAGGGAACTGCTGACGCCAAGCGTCCGTCAGGCGGCCAAAGCAGCGCTGGGTGGCGTGGGCACCCCCACACTGCTCACCCGCGCGGTCGCCGGAACGAAGAACGTAGGTGCAGGGACCAGTACCCCCACCCCTCTGACGCCCAGCGTACCACTCACGAAGCTGCTGAGGCGAAGGGATGTCCCGTGAGCGCTGCTGCTGCTGTCGGTGCGAGCGCTGGCCACCACCACCGCCGCTACGCTGCTGGGTACCACCCCGACCAGCTCCACCTCCTCCACCACTACTGCCTCCGCCGCTGCCGCCTCCACTGCCTCCACCTCCGCCGCCTCCACCTCCGCCGCTGCCTCCACCACCACCGCTGGCACCACCACCACCGTCTCCGCCGCTGCTGCCACCACCACCACCACCACCCCCGCCACTAGTCCCGCCGCCACCCCCACTCCCTCCGCCGCCACCGCCGCCACCGCCACCGCCCCCCCCAGCTCCACCCGCGCCCTTGCCTCCCTTGCCCTTGCTGGAGCGACGTCTCCCACTAGGGGCAGACGCCGCGCCGACCGACTCAAGACCAAGCAGGTCGGCAGCAGCAGCAGAGGCAACAGAGGGCAGCAAGGGGGAAGGAGAGCACCCCTCAAAGATGGGGGTGCGAGGGTCACCACGAGAAGCACCTACAGCGACTATGCTCTTCTCCGCTGCAAGGAGGGCCTTCTCGAGGAGGTCGACGGTGAGGGTGGTGGGACAGACTGCGAGAAAGTGGTCCCTGACGACGCGAAGGGAGTCAGGGAGGCGCGCGACTACGTAGTAGAGAGCGATGTACATGGGAGGGGGGTTCCTAGCGCAGAACTCAGCAGGAAGGGCGGCGCGGTAGCGAGTGTCACTAGTGCGGAGGTGCGTAATGAGGTCAGCGACAGTGGGAAAGGCAGAGAGGTCAGGAAAGAGGTAGGGAAGCATGAGACGGCTCAGTGCAGCAGTGGCAGGGGAGGAGTAGCGCGCAACTACAGCGTCGTACAAGGTCTGAGCACTCTTGTACTGACTAAAGTGCGCACGCTCAGAGGTAGGGAGGTGGCGACGCACAGCAAGACGTGCAGCAGCATCGCGGGTGGCCCACTTAGAGTGGACACCGGGATCAGCATCAGCAGCAGGAGCAGGAGAGGCGCCAGAGGTGAGGTCAAAGAGAGAAAGGTCATCAGCCCTGTCGCACTGTAAGAACAGCTGCAGGTCGTCTAGCCAGACCTCAAAATCAATGGCGCGACCCTCAGCGTCAAAAGCTAGGACACTAGGGGTAGCCATGACGACGACTGTGAAGCAGTGCAAGTAGTAGGGGGGAGAGCACGCAGTGACAGTGGGACTGTGCTCACCAGGCAGGGCAGGTCGCGCAGCTCGACAGAAAAGCAGAACGGCGACCGGGCGGCTCGGGTGTACAGCGGATCGGCTCCCGGGCGGCTCGACGGCAGGGCGGCTCGGGTGCAGGGCGGCTCGGCTCCCGGGCGGCTCGGCTGCAGGGCGGCTCGGGTGCAGGGCGGCTCGGCTCCCGGGCGGCTCGGCTGCAGGGCGGCTCGGGTCCCGGGCTGCTCGGCGAAAGGCGGCTCGGGTCGCGTAGAAGTGAGACGGGGCGGGGCCGCGTCAGGGCCGGCGGTAGGGCCGCGTAGGAGCCGGGGCAGGGCCGCGAAGGAGCCGGGGCGGGGCCGTGATAGGAGCCGGGGCAGGGCCGAGTAGGAGGCTGGCGGTGGGGCCGCTGAAGGGGCCGGCTGCAGGGCCGAGTAGGAGCCAGCTGCGGGGCCGCGTGAGAGCCGGCGCGGGGCCGCGTAGGAGCCGGCGGCGTGGCCGCGTCAGGGCCGCGTAAGGGGGGGGGGGGGGGGGGGGCGGCGCGGGGCCGCGTAAGAGCCGCGTAGGAGCCGGCGCGGAGCCGCGTAGGGGCCGGGGACGGGCCGCTTAAGGAGCCGGCGCGGGGCCGCGTAGGAGCTGGCGGCGTGGCCGCGTAAGGGCCGCGTAAGGGCCGCGTAAGGGGCCGGCGCGGGGCCGCGTAAGGAGCCGGCGGCGTGGCCGCGTAAGGGCCGCGTAAGGGCCGCGTAAGGGGCCGGCGCGGGGCCGCGTAAGGGCCGCGTAGGAGGCGACGCGGGGCCCCGTAAGGGCCGGGGCGGGGCCGCGTAAGGAGCAGGCGGCGGGGCCGCGTAAGGAGCAGGGCGGGGCCGCGACAGAGTGAGCGGCAAGGCCGCAGGGGAGAGGGCGACTCGAGGGGTCGCTAAAAAAAAATCGCGCCTCGGGGGCGCGCTTCGGTGGGCCCAAAAAATTTCGGTCCTGGAGGGACCTAGCTCTATACCATGTGAAAATGAGTAAGCAGGAATGAGTGTGACTAAGGAAAGATTGGGTACAAATACAACCCTAGAAACCCTGTACCCCATATGTGCTACCCCACTATAGCCTACAGCAACTATGTCATATAAATCTGACACTTTTCTCAGCCCAACACATTACTAGTATGGGCTTTGTAAGGTGCATACTAAGCAATAATTTGTGTTGGGTATTTCATGCCCATAGTGGTAGCTCCTACTCTCTGGCTCTTCATCGCTTCTGTGCTTTTATAAATTTGTTACCACTCCGGCTCTGCAGCGAATTGGCGAAATCGCATAACAAAATTTCTCGTCGCCGCGCCACTACCCCAGCACCAAGCAGAGTCGTGTCGTGTGAGCGTGCTCCGTCCAGTTCAGAGTATGGTTCCTGGTCCCGGCAGCGCGTCTCTCGTGGGTCCTCTCTCTTCGTCGCCACTGTCGTCGCTAGCGTCGCTCTCGTCGCAATCTCTTTCCATGCGACACTACCGCTGGGCTCTACTCGCCATACCCCTCGCTCCCACTCTGATCCTCTCGGCTCCGCGCGCCCACGCCGTTATGGCTTCCGCCTCCGGTCCGTCAACGTCAACGTCAGCGGTTGCTGATCCGTCAAAGTTCGGCTACCGGTCGACGGCGGAAGATGTGACGGCGGGCGTCGATTTGAGCGGCAAAGTGGCAATCGTAACGGGTAAGAGCATCGATGATTCGGTTTCGCCGTATGCAGTAAACGGGAGGAAACGGGAGACAAATTGGAGAGGAACGGGGAGAAACGGGGAAAAGAGGGGGGAATTACGGGGGTGAGGGGAGAGAATGTGGATCAGAAATATCCTGCGTGTTTGTGTGGTACGGGAAAGGATAAAAGGGCACGGTAGAAGGGAGGACATGTGAGGGGACGGGGGGGGAGGAGGGGGAGGTGGTGAGGGGACGGGGGGGGAGGAGGGGGAGGTGGTGAGGGGACGGGGGGGGAGAAGGGGGAGGTGGTGAGGGGTAGGGATGCTTTGATACCGCAGATGTGAGGCACGGGAGCAGCAAGTGCAGCGGCAGTATGAGCTATTCTCTCCCACTCTCCTACCTTCCACCCAACGAGTCTTTACCACCCTTGCATTTCTTTCTCGTCTTCGCCTTTCTCAATCAAACTGATCTTTCTCATCCGCTCGTCCGCTCGTCCGCCCGTCCTCTCGTCCTTGCCCGTACTTCCACTCCCCTCTCTTTTCCACCCTAGTCTCTTCCCCGCGCCATTGTGAAAAAGCGTGTAAGACGCCTCAAAAGCTGTTTGTGCCATGTCTGAAAAAAAATTCAGTCCTCCACTCCAGCCTTCCTCCTCCCCCGCGCCCAAATTCATTTAGCACGCGCGAATTCCCCTTCCCGCGCGAACCTCGTCCTCGCGCCAATGTTCTCCCCACGCGCGCATGTCGCCCCTCTCTCTTTCCGCCGCGCTAATTTCTTCTTCCTCCCCCTCTCCCGACACCCTTCTGGCGCGAATTTCCTCCCCCCAGGCGGCAGCAGCGGCATCGGCACGGAGACGGCGCGGGTGCTGGCGCTGCGAGGCGCGTCCGTGGTGCTCGCGGTGCGGAACACGGAGGCGGGGGAGGCCGCCAAAGCCGCCATCATCAAGGACATCGAGGGGCGGAGCGCAGCGGCGGCGGGGGTTCCGGCGGCGGTGCGCCAGCGCGTGAGCGTGATGCCGCTGGATTTGGCGTCGCTCAAGTCGGTGCGCGCGTTCGCCGCGGATTACTTGGGCCTTAACCGCCCGCTGCACCTGCTCATGTACGCGCGGAGATGGAAGGGGTGCGGGGGGGAGGAAAGGGGGCGAGGGAGGGGGAGGGGGTGAGTGGGTGAAGAAGGGGGAGGGCAGGGGTGTAACGGGGTGGAGGGGCGGGAGGAGGGGAATGGGAGGAATAGGGGGAATGGGGTAAATGGAGGGGCATTGGGCTTCTATGATAACAGGTTTAGTTGAGCTTAAATGATCTGCTGTTAGTGCTGCCCCACTGCCATGCTGCCCCACTGCCATGCCGCCCCACTGCCATGCTGCTCCACTGCCATGCTGCTCCACTGCCATGCTGCTCCACTGCCATGCTGCCCCACTGCCATGCTGCTCCACTGCCATGCTGCTCCACTGTCATGCTGCTCCACTGCCATGCTGCTCCACTGCCATGCTGCTCCACTGCCATGCTGCTCCACTGCCATGCTGCCCCACTGCCATGCTGCTCCACTGCCATGCTGCTCCACTGCCATGCTGCTCCACTGCCATGCTGCCCCACTGCCATGCTGCCCCACTGCCATGCTGCCCCACTGTCATGCTGCTCCACTGCCATGCTACTCCACTGCCATGCTGCCCCACTGCCATGCTGCCCCGTGCCCCATCACAACACACTTCCCTCCTTCCCTCGCTCCCTCCCTCCCTGCTTCCCTGCCTACCTACCCATTATGCTAGTCATTCTACTGTTTCGCCTTATTTATTCCTCTCGTTCAGACCTTCCCCCTCTCCCCGAACCCACCCCACCGTCCCCTTCTCTTCGTCACTTCCTATGCAACAACCCCCCACTCGCCTGCCCAACCAATCCCAGCACGGCCCACCCAATCTCAACCAACCCCTCCCCATCCCACCCCACCCCGGGCAGCAACAATGCGGGCGTGATGATATGCCCGTTCATGCTCACTGCGGACGGCCATGAGAACCAGTTCGGCACCAATCACGTGGGTGAGTGCAGGGAGGCAACCACGTGGGTGAGTGTAGGGGAGTAGCGACCATGAGGGTGAGTGCAGGGGAGCAGCAATGACGTGGGTGAGGCAAGCAAGCAGATTACATGCGCACAGCATGGGTGGCGGGGTGGAGTGTGAGGGAAGAATGGGAGTGGTGGGAGTGAAGCAGAGTCTACCAGTTGGCTGTTCTCTTTCTAGGCTCGAGTGCATTTGTTGCATTCCTAAGCTCATGGAGCTCTCAGGCTGATCGCACCACTCCTCCACTGCCTCCCTCTCCCCCTTTCTTCCGTCCCTCCGCCCCCCCTCCCCCTCTCTTCCCTTTCACCCTCTTCCCCCCTTCCCCTGCACACACCCCCCACCCAATTGCATCGCACGTCGTACCCCCTTTAGGCCACTTCCTGTTGACCAACCTGCTGCTGCCGAAGCTCAAGGAAACTGCCAAGCAGGAGGGCGCAGAGGCGCGCATCGTGATCGTGTCCTCCGCCGCGCACCAGTTCCCGTACCCGGGCGGCATCCGCTTTGACGCCATCAACGCCAAGGAGGGGTACGACTCGGTGAGGGCGTACGGGCAGTCCAAGCTCGCTAATATCCTGCACGCACGGGAGCTCGCACGGCGGCTCAAGGTGCATGGCTGTGGGAGAGGAGGGTGTGTATGAAGGAGTGGGTATGTGGGTGTTGTGTGAGTGAGTGGGTGTGTGTGTGAGTGTAGTTGGGTGGGTGGGTGGGTATGTATGTGTGCGGATGTGTGCGTGAGAGTGTGCATTAGTGGGAGGGAAGGGAAGAAGCAGGCAGGGGAAACGCGCCCAAAAAGCACATTTCATGCTACGTCTCAAATTCCTCACCAAAAATCTCTTCCTCTTCTTCCCCACTCTCCCTTATGATTTTTTTTTGTTTGTTTTGAAAACCTCAGTGCAGGTATGACTGTAAATGCTCTGTACCCATGGGTGATCGATCCTTCAACAATGGAAAAACCCCCTGCTTCCCTCGCCAACACCCTCCATCACCCTCCCTCCTCCCCTCTCTCCCCTTCCCTTCTCTCCCTTGATCCATGCGAGCAGGAGGAGGGTGCAGGAGTGACAGTGAACGCGTTCACCCGGGGGTGATTGACACCAACCTCTCACGTCACATTGTGCCACCAGGGACCATCTGGCACACCCTCGGACGTACGTGGGGCGGTGGGCGGGTGTGCTGTGCGGGTAGGTGGGTAGGCGGGTGGGTGGGAAGGGCAGAGTGCGTTAGGGCATGCCACATGGGGTCTGCAGAACCGTTGGTTTGCTGAGGTCCAAGCAGTGTAGTCTGTGGACCAGGGTGAACCAGCTGTGAGCCAGATCTTGGACAATGCAAGTGCACTAGATAGTTACCATGTAACACAACTGGTCTGAGGCCTGGTTCGATTGGGTCGGAGCCATTTATACAGGGCCGCCATGGAAAATGGCAGGGGTTGATACTGGTCTGTTAGACCAGTCCGCGAAAGCAAGTGCGACGTGTGTCGAACTTGTTCCGCGGAGCCAATATCGCTTTGAGGAACGAGGCAAAGCCTTTCGCGCTACAGAGTGCCGTAAGCGACTGTCCGGTGTGTCTTCTACAAGGCACACCCTGGGACATAGTTGATGGGGTGGCCAGGTAATTAGGTGGTGTAGAAAGAGGGGGAAGGAGGGGCGTCTGAGGGGCTGATGGTTTGATGGAAGCTGTTTGGCACAAGCATGCTTTGTTCTTTTGCAGTAACTCTTGCTCGCTGCTTGGAGCTTGCTTCTGCAACGGCTTGGCTGAGCACCCATTGTTGTCATACTACCACTCGTCCTGTGCTTGTGCCTGTCCACTGCTGCCCTGCCATGTTGTGCAACCAACCACCAGGGGGAGCGTACAGCCTGGTGTTCCAGTGGTTCATGAAGACCATTCCTCAGGTACCCTCCACCTCCACCTACTTTATACCTCGCCTCACTGCACTTTGCCGTACATTACCTTAGGGGAGTGGTTAAAGTAGCTCTTCACCGCACTGCACACACTCTATATTACTCTGCACCCTACTGATATGCCTCCAACCAACCCTGCTGCAAGAGCGATTTGACGTGATTGAAGAAGAGCTGCCTCAGCTTTCACCAACCCCTCACCCCTCCTCACCCTTCCTCACCCCTCCTCACCCCTACTCACCTCACCTCACCTCACCTCCCCTCACCTCACCTCACCCGACCTCACCTGACCTCACCACCGCCCTCTGTTACTGCTGCATGGTTGGGTGCCCGCACGCACCCATGCATGGTTGGGGGTGTGCGTACTTTCCCATGCATGGTTGTTCCAACTTATCCCCATGCTCATGTGCACACTCCCTGCAACAAAGCCCAGTGGGGCTACTTCTCATGCTCCCTCATCTTTCAACCTTTCCCCCCTGCCCATTCTTACTCTCACACACTCTCTCTCTCAAGCCACTCTCGCATCGTGCCGCCTCGAGGCACACACCCTGTGCCTCGCTCCCCCCCCCCCCCCCCCCCCCCCCCCCCCCCCTTACACACTCCTTGCACCTCCACCTGACCGCCCCGTATCCTCCTCTCCCCACTCTCCTCTCCTCCCTTCTCTCAGGGTGCGGCCACCTCATGCTTCCTGGCGGCGCACCCCTCAGTGGTGGGTGCAAGTGGGGGCTACTACGCAGACGCGCGGGCAGCCGAGGGCAAGGCGACGGTTTTGAGCAAGGACATGGAGCTGGCTGGGAAGCTGTGGGAGCTGAGTGAGCAGATGGCGAACAAGGAGTAATGCTGAATGGTGTGTTTTTAATACGCTTCAAAAATGGTTCTTGAGGCGTCTAGAAGAGCAAGGGGCGGTTCTGAGCAAGGACAAGGGGCTGGCTGGGAAGCTGTGGGAGCTCAGTGAGCAGATGGCCAGCAAGGAGTGATGCTGATTGGTGTGGTGTGAGGGAGAGAGTGGAAGAGATTGGGAGAGAGTGGGAGAGAGTGAGAGAGTGGAGGAGTGAGGGTGAGAGTGTGAGTCGTGTGCAGTGCAGGTGTGGGTGAATGGCTTGGTAGGCTTGGTTCTTGCGCAGGCTGGGTTACATTTCAGGGTGCAGGCAGCTCGATGGGCAGAAGCTTGTTGCATTGTATATCACAGCAAGCATGTGCAGCTAGGAAGTGGAGAAGCTGTGGGAGTGAGCAATGCCGGATGTAGGTCAGATGACTGGGAGAGCAAGGATGATGATGTATGCGGGTGTATAGTTGATGGTGGTTATGCGAATGTGTTACAACGTGTTGTTACAACCCCTTGTCAGGCAAACCTGTTGTCACCTTCGCGTTTAACCGTACAGTATAGCAAGTTGTCTACACTGAAACATATTTAACCACACAACACTGTCAAGATGTGTCTGAGGGCATGTTCTTATTTATCAAGTCAACCTTTTATCAGGCTCGCGTCATAGCACACTGAAATTTCCCTAAACCCAAATACCTTTGCGTCAAATTTTACCAGGCAAAAATGCGAAGCCGATACGAGGTATCCCTGATACGGTAAGGAGCCTTAGGAACATGCCCTAATAGCGGCGTACAAACATACCTTTACAGATGAGTGGAGGTTACAGACCAGGCTTTTCAGAATGTGAACAATGGAAGAATGATTAGTAACGGTTGTGATACAAATGCCTATTCGAAACTAAAAGCAGATTGCCTAGCACGGTTGGTATTGAAGTAGGACACCCTCATAGAATGTGCCTAACTCACGGCTGACGCACGAAACACATGACAAGTTGACATCTGCCGACGCTTTGATAAGGTATCAAGGCCAAGCTCTTGATCGTGTCGACGCCGACGTCCTCGGGCTTCACGTGCTGTTCGGCGTCTACTTTGTCGTAGAAGCAATCGTCTGCCGTCGTGGAACAATCGTCCGCCGACTCACGACCTCTGTCGAGATCGACATCGGCTTCGTCGAGCAGGGGCGAAAGTCTGTGCAGAGAACGCAGCCAGTGTACGGTAGCGTGCTTGACCGAGCACCTCGCCCGCACACGACACGAGCAGCATCTCGTCGCCCGCGTTCTGCAGTCTCACGCCGCTGTCCTTCAGATGGGCGACCAAGAGCAGCTTCGCCTGCATTCCCCGGACATAGAACACATCGAGGATGAGGACCTGTTTCCCGGCCTCCATGTGTAGAGTGACGGTGCCACGGCCTTCGACGATCTCTAGTGCCCCGTTGAAGCCACGCACGTGGCGCACGTCGCCCCTAGGCTGCATGACGACAAGGCTGTTAGAGGTCCACTTGTGATCCCCGATTGATCCTAGGGAAGGGTTACAGGCAGGTTGGCCCGGGGGGTTATGGGTGCACTCACCCGTTACATAAACAAGCCCTTTTATCCCAGTGGTTAGTGGCTGGGATTCTGACATGGTATCAGGGCGAAGGTCTTGGGTTCGAATTCCAGTGTGTGCACTCCGGGCATCCCAGTGCGGGGGGTGTCAGATGTCCACTGGTGATCCCCGATTGATCCTAGGGAAAGGTTACAGGCAGGTTGGCCTGGGGGGTTATGGGTGCACTCACCCGCTACACAAACAAATCCTTTTATCCCAGTGGTTAGTGTCTGGGATTCTGACAAAGGCCTCCTTTGTCGCCATCAGATGGTGAGAGCAGCCACCAGCACCACCATCAAGTTCGCATGCATAGCGGCCGCGATCGCCTTGAAGTCCTCGCCAATCTCCGATGCCGACGATACGGTCGACTCCACAACGTCGACCATCGAGCACGACGCCTCTGTCAACTGCAATCGTGCGTTGGCCCATCCTCGCTTGGGTGGAGCCGACTTCTTAGTCGGGCGTGCAGAGAGTGCAACCTACCAACTGCAGTGGGCGACATCGACATGAGCGCGCAGGTTGACATGTCGGTCAACCTGCACGGGGCCACTACGAAGCCGCCGACGACGGGCGCTAGCGGCCGACTTCAACTTAGGGATGTCGCCGACCTTGTGAAGTCGGCGGCCCAGATCCGCTGTGGTCAACGGGAGGAGGTCGACAAGGGAGGGAGTCGACCTGGGAGGATGCCGGCCTGGTGGCGTCGACCTGGTTGCTCGGTTGATCAAGTTACCCGGGCGACGTGGATCTGCGGAGCTGTGCAATCGTCGCCCAGGTGGTTCAGGCAAAGCTGACCTCGGACGTGGTATCCGAAGGTCGACGTGGCGGATCAGGTGCAATCGTGCGCACGTGGTCGGCTTAGCGTCTGCGTTGTGCACGTGGTGGGGCACAAAACGCCAACCAGCTGCGAGCACCAGCGAAGCGGGTGCGCTGTTGTCATGCAGGTGCAACGCTGTGCAGCCGCCCTGCAGCAGCGTTGGCACGCCGTTGACTTGCAACGCTGGCAGGTTGCCACCTCGCACTGCTGGAGTGCGGTCGACCTTGCTGCATTGGAACGCGGCCGACCGTGCTGTGCTGGAGGTCGACCTGCATGCTTGCTAGCATTTGATGTAGTCTGTATTGCTTTGCCTTGTTCAACCATTGTTGTCAATGTTTACTAGTGAAACTTTTGCCATTTTTTTCCCATGATTGGGCAAGTAGAGAGAACACGAGCAAACATTAAGGAACGCTACGATCACCACTGCAAGCGTGCCTATCCCGTGGTCGAGCTCCCGTTGTATGGGTTATCTCCGCAGCCTCGCCATCGCCTCGACCTTTGCTGCAGGAGGAGGAGTCGGCGTCTTTCGCCGACGACGTCGACTTCGACGCCTACTTCTCCTTTCGCGACTGGCTGTCCCGACATCAACGACCACCATCGTACTTCATGTGGCTTCCGTTGTCTTCATCCTCGGACTTTTCGCAATCGGGACACTTGAAAAAGAGGTGGTCGGGTTGCCATAGATCCAGCACTCGCGTCGTCGACCATCGCTTCTTCGACCGATGTCCCATGCCAACTTCGACCGGTCGGCGACGGACGCCGACGTTTCACCTCCGCTACCATCTCCGCTCGACGTCCCACGCTGCCCCTGTTGACGACCTTGCTTCTTCGGGGTAGCGTAATTCGCCTACGGAAGCAGCATCATGGGCCTCCTGACCTCTTGCATGGCCTCGTCCTTGCTGATGTGCGAGGTCAGCGTGTCCTCGTTTAGCGACTGGCGAATCATCATCATCCGGAGCATCATGTTGAAGCCCGACGGAAGACCCTTCACGACGTGCGTCATGTAAGACACCGTCGAATAGTCGATGCCGACCATCCGCATGTCGGCCAGGATCTGTCGAACACGGTTGCAGTAGTCTGTCGCTGACTTCTGCTCGCCCATCCTAAGGTGAGTCAGGTGCTCCCACCTGACCCATGTACAAGTTGGTGGTAGACTAGTACGAAGACAGGATGAACTGCCATGCCTGATGGCCGGAGTCCAGCAGAAGTCGACCCGACTTCACGACAATCTGCACCATCAGCAAGCAACATCAAGAAATAACCAGGTAGGTCAGCAGGTGAGCGGTGCGGAATTCCGCCCGCAGCTCAACGACAACCACATCTGACGTCTCTACGTTGCCGTCGGCGAAGCACTTCAGCCCGACAATCTCCAACTGAGGCTCGATCGACTCCCTCCACATGAGAAGATCATGTCGACCCACCAGAAGCACGGGCACATCAATCTTGTCCGTCGTAAATTTCAAGTAGCTGTACGCCGACGCGATCCCGCCCGCCGACACGTGCGTTGAAGAGCCCGGCCTGACTCCGCTCCGTTGCGGGGAGCGAAGTCGACCGTCGACGTCGCCGTGCGAGCTGCCCGCGTCCGTGTCGACCGCTGCACTCGTGCATGTATCCCACCGACTTTGACGTCAGCATGCCTGATCATTCATCTTGACGCCCTTGTGCTCTCGTCGCTGCCGACTTGGTCACCGCCGTCGACCAGCTCGTCAATGCTGCCTTCGTTGCGTAACGGTGGAGGAGAGGCGGACGCATCGTCTGCTGTAGCACGGGGAGGCGGGTGGTCGCGCGCCCACTGCGCGCGAGTGCCTAGGAGTGCCCACTCCAACGGAACCTCGCCGAACTCGCCAGCCGTATGGCGTCTCCTAACATTATCCGCATGAAGTACTAAGCGAGATAGCTGAGCAAGCGACATACATGAAAACGTAGGCACCGTCGCCGGTCCGCTATGACACAGCTTGCGTAGCAAGCGGAAGCGACACAAAGACAAATAATGTTGCTTGCGGTGGTGTCCTAACGGAACGAACCTGAGTTAAGTAAAGAAGCTGCCACAAAAAAATGCACGAAAAGCTTTGTGAACCCAAAGGTTTGCAAGCTTGGCTGTCCTAGGTTCATCAGAAGAAGTCATCTCGAATATCTTTGTTGGCTCCCGAACGCTTTGTGCCTTGGTACATAGGCTTAGACAAACATAATAAGGAAGAGAACTTGCGTACTAAGCGAAATAGTCGAGCAAGCGACATACAATATATGGCATCTCCAAGGTGTCCTCTACACTGCTGGCTTCTCCCGACGTCAGCACGAACTGCCGGCCTACGAACAACTTAGGTAGGTGATAAGTCAACTACTTATCCGAGGGTAACCTGCAGGGCCGTCCACGCTCACCACACCATGCGAAGAGTTACTTTACAACGGAGCTGGACTATGGGAAAAACACGGGCGGTACGAATGATCGTAGCGTTCCTTGGGTTCCCTAGCACTTCGTTCACAGGGCAAAACTGCATGAGTTTCAATGGCAAAAGTTGAGAATACAGGATGCAAAGTAGCAATGGCAAAGTGTTTACATCTGGAACCTAGCAGCCTAGCAACCAGTCAGGTCGACCTCCAGCGCAACAGCAACA